GGAGGGGGGGGAGTGATATTTATCATCCTGATTTTGGTTTTGATTTCACAGGTGTGCATCCATATATCAAAACTCGCCAAGTCGCACAACTTAAATATGTGCAGCTTATGTCAATTGTACCCTGATAAAGCTATAATAAACTCTTTATCGAAATATAATTAGCACACGGGCATACAACGTACCGATTCAACGCCTCCTTACGAGTGCTCACCACGATAACTGGAGTCACCATCTGTCATCCTTCGTTACTACCTTAATTATATTCCCTGTGCTGTACTTTTCTTCCCCGTGACTTATCTTACAACTGAAAGTTTGCACCTCTTAATCCCCTTTATCTATTCTTCCCATCCCCCCGCCTACCTCCCCTCCACCCAATTTTTGTAGAACCTTTTTTTACCGTTTTTAACGCTCATTTCTTTACACACATTAAAGTCACTTCCAACTCGGATAAATCCCTGGGTCTGTCATCTTTGTATGCTTCTGTAGTGGGTTTCTGCCAACTCTTGCTCAGGACGGCATCTCTTTACAGGGTCCACTTATTTCCCAGCTCAGTCTCTGAAGGTCAGATTGGATCTCCTCTATCAGCCTCGTGACCATTTTCCAAGTCAGAGAGGAACAGGAAAAGGCGAGCACTTTTACCAGGAAAGCAACACGGTCCTCGTAACTTCTAAGTACATGTCCCGCTTCCGTCTCCCTGGTCGCAACTGTCACAGAGGAGCCTCAACTACGAACATTTAAACCCCCGTCGTTGAGCGCGCTGGAGGCAGTGCTGCAAGAACCCCTGCGCGGCCCTGCATACACTAGACACAGGCAAGAGTTCCAAGGGACTGCTAGTCATGGAGACCGCAGGACCCCGTTCTGGAGCAGGAGTTACGGAAGGGAACTCACACCTACTTACACTCCCCTGGCTCTTGTGACTCTAAAATATAACGGGGACCCTCACCCTCAGAAAGTAGGCTTTTGAGGACGGACACCGTGCGAACAGAAGGCTCTTGAAAGAAGCCCGGGACGGTGCCGCGGGCACACACGGCAGCTTGTGAAGGCAAGGCCGTGGGCTCCAGAAGTACCCTTGCACGCCAGCTCCTCCCTCCAGATGCCGCCCGCGACCGCTATGCAGGCCTCCAACCCACCGGCAAGTAGCTGGCAAGGGAGGGACTCAGATACACACAAGGCAAAAGGTGCAAAGAAACATCACCTGGCTCAGGTTTATTTCAAGGCCTGAAATCATTCAGATTAATAAAAAATGGTATCACTGCAATTTCTCATCATACATACGCCACGTAAAACTTTAAGAAGTGTAGACACTATTAACTCCTGCACCTCACGATATACAATTTTCAAACTGCAAGGTGACAACAGCAAAGACTTTCCACACACTTAGTGAGGACATGATTAGCAGCAGGCTATACAAATACAAATCCGTTTTTACACTTTCCATGTCTGTTTTTATCTTTGCTTTGTAAAGCCACTAATAATCAAGGCTTCTTTCAAGCATAGGCTCCCTAACATCAAATTAACATTTCCTAAGTATTTTCATAAAGGAAGTAAGACACACACTACATTGTCCGCCATAAATTCATACACCAAACAGAAAAACACAATCCAACTAAATTTACCCATGCTTCCCCTTTCTCCAGATGTTTTAGGTATTTTTCTGCTTTATGTGTTTGGTAACATCAGTTCTCTATGCCGATTAGAGAAAATGCTCGATGATGAGTTACTTTTATTTATTTATTTTTTTTCAACGTTTATTTATTTTTGGGACAGAGAGAGACAGAGCATGAACGGGGGAGGGGCAGAGAGAGGGAGACACAGAATCGGAAACAGGCTCCAGGCTCTGAGCCATCAGCCCAGAGCCCGACGCGGGGCTCGAACTCACGGACCGCGAGATCGTGACCTGGCTGAAGTCGGACGCTTAACCGACTGCGCCACCCAGGCGCCCCGATGAGTTACTTTTAAAATTACCTTCTCTGTCTTCCTGCTCGCCTTCCCCAAGCCAAATCTGGTGCTCAAGCGAACGAGAGCACAACGTACTGTTTCAGGGGGGCCAAACAAGCTGTCGTCTCAATTTCCTAAATATCCAAAGACTTCAATTTTCTGCCAATATAAACAGTGTCCCAAGTAGCCAAATACTGCTTCTTAGTTAGGAGGAAGAAAAAATGCATAGCGTGAGGATTATTTAACTAAAGCTTTATTATGTATGCCTTTTCCCCAAGCTACAAGCACTGTTTAGCATTAAATTACATTGTGCGTACACAGCTACGACAGTTTACATTTGCTCAGGAATATATAATTACGTTAAAAATAAATAACTGTTTCATAATTTAATTGGCTCTTAAAAGGTTTCTCTAGGGGGAAAACAAATGTTTGTGTTCTTCAAGAAACTGGTATATACAAATCATCCACTGTGTGCTCACTCTGAACATGAGGAAACCTAAGGATGAAGTTCTGGGCATTTTTTTCCCTACAATGCAATACAGCTTTGCACTTAGTCACTGTTCACGGGGCGAAGGGATGGAATGATACAGGCGCCATCTTTTGTCCAAGTGTATAGCTGTAGAACATTCTAAATGGAATAGGGAAAACAAAAAAAAAATAACCCTGACATTGACAACTGTTTCAAGGAAAACAGAACCAAAATCAAGAAAAACGTTGAACATCGACCCTAAAAAGGACAAATGTTATACCACACAGAAATGCAACACAGTACAATGATTTGACCTCATAGAGGAAATGACTAACTACAGTGAAACCCCACATGTCTATTTGTAATATATTAACATACCAGATATCAAAAATATAAAGTATGGATTTTCCCCCTTCGGTTTACAATAAACTCTCAAAGCTCTGGTGAATACACTTATTTACAAGCCTTCTCTAGTTGGCAGCACATCCTACACAGATACATACATGCTACTTTTTACCATGAGAATTATAGTCCTCATCTCAAAACCAGTGACTTGCCTTTTTACCCATAATTATATACATTTCATTCCCATTATAAGACACTTAAGACCTGTCTAGTGGTACATTTTAAATGACATACTGCATAAAAAAGAAGCTTGATTTTTAAAATGAATCATTTTAGTACTACAGCATGATGCATTGAATTTGAACAGCTGAAGCATGACGTGGTAAGTACATTGTACTGTTTAATTCACAGCTGTAGGAAAACGTTTGATTTTTAAAATACAACAACTGAGGAGTTAGGAGTAGTAAGATACTAGAACACAGTGAATGAATAAATAAGAATAAGATGATTTTTCATCAGTGGCCATTCATGATTTTGCTTTTAGGAACCCGGAAGAAATTATCTTCTTTCAATTTCAAATGTTCTGGTAAATCTAGTCGTTTCTTGGCTTCCTCGATATCACCTTGAATTGCTGAAATAAGGGACTCTGTAGAGAGAACACAGCAGGCAGACGATGAGAAACTGCCGCTCTACTCTCTCTACCCGTTCAGACTCTCCTGAAAGCTCACAGGCTGGCAGCGCCTTTAGCACAGGGGAGACGCCCAATAAATGTTTGTCCCGTCCCTTCTTCCGGACTGACGTAAACATCAATGGTACCCAAAAGATGTCCCTCTTCTGGCAATTTCTCAGAGAAAGGCATTAGCAAAAAGTGTGTCACAAGTACCAAATGGAAGGAAGATGCATGATCAAGCCTCTTCAGTATTTACGTTTGTAAAAGACCCTCTCCAACAGAATCAAAGCAACCACACCACGCTGACATACTTGATGCTCTATGTTTCAAATACTGACTTAGTTTGTTACACTTCAAGCACCACAAAGCATCTTTACTCACGACAGCATTCTCTCTTGTTCCTTGAACTATGAAAAGGAAATAGAGATTTCACTAACTTCATACTGTTGGGAGAGAAGCAGCCAGCCTACTGATACTGATAAGAAGCATCACATACTTGTGTGACCCTGGGCAAACTATTTAACCCTCCTCTGCCGATCTCCTCACCTGTGAAATGGGCAAAATAATTCCTCATGTTATGGTGGGGGAAGTGACTTGATTCATGTAAGGCACTTACAGTGCCTGGCACATACTAAATGCTCAAATACCATCTCGCCTGCCGTGCTGTTACTAGCAGAAGCATTAGAAGTGGCTGCGGTAATACCTAAGAAGACCTAAAAGGAACTTTACCTAAAGAATCGAAGTTCTTCTCAGGTCTGAGGTAGCCAACGATGGCCACATTGAGGATTTCCCCATAGAAGTCCTCTTCGAAGGTGTGCATGATATGAGTTTCCTATAGTTAAGAAATATCAAAAAGATTACCATCAGGTCACAGAATACCTGAAATTTGAAATATTACCTTCACATTTACGGTGGGGGTCATTCAAATGAAACCATGAACGCTTGCTAAATTTTTAAAGACAGGTTAAAATCTAAGTGTAGTTTTTCTCCTGAATGCTTCCATCAGTCCTGTTCCTGCTCCTGACCTTACATGTAAACATTGTATCTGAGTAAGGCAGATGTTATACCACAAATATTGAGCACAATGCTAAGCAGTTCTGGGCCACCTCTACTGTTTTTACCAGTACTCAGTCCTGTGGTTTTCCAACTGTGACACGCTTCTATAAACTCTTCAAGGACGCTGAAATTTATACCAACTCTGTTTCTGCCATGCGCCTGAGCTGACCAAGACTCAGCCCTATCTCGCAGATTAAGCTGTTAAGTGGTAGGGGTACTGTGAACAGAGCAGAAGGGTATGCCCTTAAGGTAGTTTAAGAGGAAAGAAAAAAAAGCATCACCTCGCAATTTTATCAGAAAGCACCATTTGTGTAGTAAGCAGCTCTATCTTAGCAGGATGAGCAAGTAATTAAAAAGTGAATGAACTACATTAATTGTGGCAAGCTCCATTTTATAAAACATGCTCTTAAGTAATTCATTTAAAAAATTTTTTTTAATGTTTACTTATTTCTGAGAGAGAGAGAGAGAGCACAGAGCATGAGCAGGGGAGGGGCAGAGAGAGAGAAGACACAGAACCCAAAGCAGGCTCCAGGGTCCGAGCTGTCAGCACAGAGCCGACTAAGGGCTCAGACTCACAAACCATGAGATCACGATCTGAACCGAAGTCGGACACTTAATCGACTGAGCCACCCAGGCGTCCCATAAGTAATTCACTTTTATCTCCAGTGAGGATAAGTCCATGGGCAGCTATAAAAATTAATATTGCAATTTTGGCTTGAAACTCTACTTTTTATTTTCTACAGGACTTGAAAGACAAATGCACCAAAATTCGTAACTTCAGAATGTTAAAGGCAATCCTCGCGGTAACCGCACAGAAAATAGTTATGTCAAGTACACAAAAGGAAATAAGGTAATCAAAATTTGTCACTGCAAAAAAAAAAAAAAAAAATTAAAAAACAAAAGGCAGTAGTGGAAGAAATATCAAAAAGGCTGTAAGGCATTTAGAAAACAGCAAAATAGCAGAAGTCCCTCCTCAGCAGTCATTAGCTTACATGTAAATGGATTAAACTCTCCAAAGAAAAGGCAGAGATTAACAGAACGATTAAAAAGCACAATCCAATTATACCCCCCCCCCCCTTTTACAAGAGATCATTTTCTTTTAGAGATTCGCTTTGGATCCAAAGACACCATACACTGAAAGGAGGACAAACTCTTCCATTCAAACAGTAACTAGACACTTGAAAATCCTTCAAGCCCGCTGCCAGAAAGCCTAGTCATTTGGACTATGCTGTGAGCACCACTGGGGAGTTCTACATGCATCTGCTACTGAATATTACCTTAAATCATTATCCCATTTCCAGTTACAGACCTAGATATAACTCTTACCATGGACTTTTTTGTATTTTTGTAGTATGGGTTCCATCCTATGCTCACCACCATCTTATGAACATCTCCACTTCCAACACTGGCCCAACCATAATAAATGCCAGTGGATACATCAGCTGGGAGATTGTCAACTACTTGCTCCGGAAAGTTGGCTAAAGAACAGAAACAAATATTACGGGTGTTAACAGCGTCATAGTAAATCTTTATAAAAATCGCAGGCAAGGAAGCATAGTCTAAATCATTAGGCTCACCAGAGTCCCAGGGCCCTGCCCCGCCTATGCTTATCAATCCCACCCTCCTTCCGTAGTCTGGCTCAGGTTTTTCTTTCTCAGCTCCATGTGGATAGGTTAAGAACAATTAAGTGTATAAACATCCCCAAAAAAACACATACTCTTGAGGCAGGAGAAAACGGGTGCACGAACAGCTGGGGTTTTTAGACCTGGGCTTTCTTAAGGAGGTTCGGAATCTCTTGAAACGATTCTTATTCTCCAAATATGGGCGCCTACGTCCCAAGCTCAACAACCGGGGGTAACCGTGGTATGTGTTTTTCAGGATGAATCACACATGATCAGGTCCTGCCTACTGAAACGAATGTAGACCGACCAGAAAGGAGATCTGATTCTCATCCAATTACTAGCGAGACACTTAAAGACAACAAAAAACCTTGCAGCTAGCTTGGCAATCTAACCAGCCTGGTTCACGTTACGTTTTCTAACGGGGAAGCCGCGTGCCAGGCCTGGCAGCTCTAGCTCGGTTGGATAGGGAGGCGGGAAAGAGGGGTCCCGAAACTCCGCTCGCCTTTCTGCCCTCACCACCCCTCCGGCCCAGTTCCCCGGTGAGCTGGGAGCCAGGGACAGGGACGAGTTTCCTCAACCCGCCTCAACAAAGCAGAAACCAGGCGGAGCGGAGGGCGTCGCCTCTGCCCTCGGCCCCAAGTTCCCCGTCTGACGTCCCCGCTCCCGCCCGACCCAACCCCGCGAGTCGGAGGGGTGCCCCAGAGGGGGGCCCGCGACCGTCCGCGCTCACCTGTAGGGATGCCCAGCTGCTTGGAGCCGCGGCCGAAGCCCCGCACCACCTGGCCGCGGCAGAAATACGGCAGGTGCCTCATGACGCCGTCCGCTCGGGGCGCGGGCTGCGACCGGGGTCGCGGGTCCGGCGGAGCCGCCGTCGAAGCGGTGCCCGGATCTCCCGGACCAGCCGGGGGACGCAAGCGGGAGC